CTATTTTTTATATTTTAAATATTCTTTTGTTACATGTAGACATTGTATATATGTGTACATGGTGTATGAGGCTTAAAATTAAGTTATACACTTCCTTCTTGAAACTACATGTATGTTTTACTACTACAGATCAAATGTCTCAGCTTTATTAATTTACTCATTGCTATGTAAAGTGTAAATATTTTGGAGAGTGATCTATGCAAGCTGAGGAAGCAACACTATGTTCCTAATTAAACTACATGGTAATCTCCCTCTTATTCTGTTTCCATAGGTCCATCCCAGCATCAGGTTTTTACCGAAAAGAACGGGACAAAGAAACTCTTCTTTGAAGTTCCCACGGTTAATCCTAATCTCCTCGTAGAACCAGTCACCACAGACCCCAAGGACTCAAACTACACATCCTTTCGTGTTATCAACCAAGCCACTGGAAAACCTTTGGGAATATTTCGAGCCCCAGACATTGTACGAATGCGTAGCTTCATGGCTTCATTTGGTCACACTGGAGAGGGTCTCTTTTCAAAGGCGGCAGGTGCTAATGAGATCCCGGTAGAAGCAACACATGGACTTTGGGATGTTATCCATCCATCAGAAGAGGAACTGGTACAAAGACAAACGGCATTTAACGAGGGAATCAAGGAGAAAAAGGATGAGGGCGAAGTTTTACCAAGACCTGTTGATGCTCCTCCTAATTATGCTCAAACTATGGAGCAGCTGGCGTTAGGGTTTTATCTACCAAATGACCTTCAGTCAGAGACACCTGTAGTGTATCCAGGTCAAGCAATGCCTATTTATGATCCTTCGGTAGCAGCTGCTTCTCTGTCAACCAGACGACCCTGGCATGATACCTTCCGCCCACCGCATGGTCCACCTGTTTTCTGTCCAATTAGTATCGGGTATGGACCTGAGGTTGGTCTGATTGACGGACAGCAGGCACTATGGGATCCAATTGGCAAGTATTACTTCTTTCTTGATCACTTACAAAAAGTGACCTTTTTTGAAGACCCACGCCCACCTATAGCACCCAGACCAGCTTTAGAGCCACGCAAGGTGACTTATGGTGATCGGAAAAGAGAAGGAACACTCCCTCAATCTCTTTGTCGTAGTTATGATATCATAAACCATGCCTCCCAAAGGGCCCGATCTAAAAAACATGGCTTTGTGCTTAATGCTGCGGGTATTCATGGTCATCATGGAAACCATGGGAACGTGGGTACTACTGGTACCAGCGGGTACTCTGGCATGGACGGAGGAGGATGTGGTTCCCCTGGTACAGCAGGGGGTCCTGGGGGGGTTGGGGGGCCTGGGGATTTTGGAAAAAGAGGACAAGATGCAACTGAAGCAAGTGATATCATACTCAGTCTCTATGGCAACAACGAGTCGTTACATGTATCTGGTACATGTGAATTTACGGCACTTTTGGGCGGAGACAAATACGAAGAAGTATTGTTTGTAAATTGTAGAGGAGGGGACGGGGGTAGAGGAGGTAATGGGGGAACAGGCGGAGCCGGTGGAAGAGGAGGCAGAGGAGGTAATGGATCTAGTGGCAGCCCGGGAATGTCTAGCGCTCATGGTCCTGGGGGAAACGGGGGACCTGGGGGTAATGGAGGTAGTGGGGGACCGGGTGGAGCCGGAGGTAATGGAGGAAGAGGAGGAGATGGAGGACATGCTGGATTTGGAGGTGCCTGTGTATTGCAAGCTCAGGACCCACGACTATTCATGTTAGTAGAGGTAGACTGTATGTGTGGAGCAGCTGGAAACAAGGGAAGTGGAGGACATGGAGGGAGAGGAGGCAGTGGTGGATCTGGTGGTAGTGGAGGTTTTGGAGGACGAGGAGGCAGTGGAGGTTCATACAGGGACAATAATGGGGTCACCCATCATTATCCAAGTGGTTCTTCAGGCTCAAGTGGGTTTCCTGGCTCAAGTGGAACTGATGGACGTCAGGGTGCTTCTGGACAGGACGGGATCAACGGTCAACCAGCACCAACTGGCGGTATTCTGTGGGTTATCAGCTCACCTGATGGAGGAATACTTTATGAGTCTTCTACACGTTATGACTGCCATGTGACCGGGTTTCACACTGCTTCTGCCGTTGATGATGGGATTTTTGAACCAAATGAGCGCATAATCATAACAGATCTCACCATGACAAACGATGCCTTCATGGACCTGCCCTCTGGAGCCATTGCTCTTATTCCTTCAACTCAAACTATCAAATTTGAGCCAATAAAACATACACTGCCTGAAATCCCTCGTGGGGCCACATACACTGTTCCTGTTAGTTACTATGGACGAATATTCGACCAGCCTCCTCCTAATAAACCTGGACCGTTTGTTTCAAAAGCAGAGTTTATACCTCGTGTTGAATTATTGGGACGTCCCTTTGAGCGCTCGTTCCTCAAGAAGACCCTTATCGTACAGTACCCTATTAAATTAGCATTTATGAATTGCCCAGAAAACCTTGGACGTGGTGAATTTGCTAATCTTGAGATTGGGATTGAAAACATATCCCAAATGCCTTATGGATCAGTTCCTGGCTCTGGCGGGAAAGTCATTCTTCAGGTTCATTTTGATCAGCGACTCCTTCCAGTGGCAGCTGCTAATGTGGGTCTCTCCCTAGTTCCTTACACAGTTACTTATGATCCCAACATGAGGGATAGTCTGTACGTTCAGCTTCATGAAATACCTCCAAAGGGTACAGTGGTTGTCCAGTTGACAGTGCAAATGGAGAGCAGGGCCGAGCTTTTTGACCGCTGTCTCTGGCAAGCTGATGTTTACCTCCGAGATAAATTAATTGAATATAATCATCAAATGATACGAGTATCTCCATTTTATACTCCAACTGCCACACCTTCAGACATATTGATGATTACTGGTAGTGGCATATCACGACGCGAGTTTGTTTTCTGGCAAAAGATACTGGAGAGTTTGTATGTAACGGTCGATTTCTGGGACACTGACAGATACAACGGAGTATCTGTGGATGCCACCACTAACACGAGGCATGCTGTGACTTGGGAAGGGAGATATGGTGGTAAAATGATCCTCTATCCTCATGCTGACCTCAATAAGTTGTACGGTATTGACATTGCTAGGCATTTCCATGGATCCGAGTTTCGTGATGCTTCATCTACGGACCTGGACTCATCCATGCTCCTCTTCTTACCTTCCTCCAATCCAAAGGGACCCAAGAACAGTCCTCATGATGATCCTGGTGACAGAAACCTTGTGAGACATCTCTCAATAGTTGATGCTCCCATTGAATTGAGGGAGGACGACTACACTGGACGTCATTGGGCGACTCCTGGGACCTTGTTTGTGCCTGAGAAACCTTACCACTCTCACGAGAAGAAACTAATAAAGAGGATGGAGAAGGATGATCCGAAACGATCCTATGCTGTAATTAGTAGAAGAGTAGACATACAGTCGATTGGTTTCATGAAGTACAAGTATGGGTCTGTGGACATACGTCGGTTCCCTCTCCATCGCTCGTGCAAGTTCTTGACAGTGGACGGGTCTGGAGGATCTAAAGTCTTCATGAGCCAGGACAATAAGTTCTTGGATCCTAATCAGGCCGAGTTTCCACTTGCAAGCCACTTTGGTCAGGTGTATCTATCCACTCTGTATTGCCTTCCTTTAACGAGGAAGTTGGTTCTGTTGCAGCCTTTGCCTGAGGAGGCTGGTCAATTAGCATCTCTCAATCTTTCATTCAATTTGCCTAATGGTGGCTCTCTAACAAAGATAGAGCTAATTGTTATTTCAATGTCTCACGAGATTGCTGACGAAGTTTTAAATTGTTCAGGTGCAACAAATCGCATCAATCTTGTCATGGAAACAGTGTCTGGAGCTCCTGGATCGTTTTCAAGTTGTTACTCTGAATTACTGAGAGGAATGGAGCTGGTCAAACGAGAATTAAAAGCTCGTAAGAAGCGTTCAAGCAACAGTGTCTTGAAGAGGTCTTGCCAGCAGGTTGAGAGAGTTTGTGGTCAAATTACTTCCATAGTTTCTCGGGCTAGTGGGCTTAATCCCCGCGGATTGCCATGGCTACCAAGGTTTATCCAATTGGTTGATTCTGATCGGTTTCATTTTTCTCACCAGCACACAATGAAGGACAAGTGCTTTAACTTGACCGGACAATGAATTATTTTTATAACATTAATATTATTAGATTTTTTGATTTTAGTTTATTAATTATTTCCCTTTTATTATGAGTGCTGCTTTTTGTTTTTTATATTTTATTATAATAATAAAATAATAATAATAATAATAATAATAATAATATTATTATTATTATTATTATTATTATTATTAGTATTAGTTTTTATTGCTTTGAGTCTACATTGTCATTTTTTAGAATTGATTCATTTTTCTTTTTTAACTTCCGTTCTCTCTCTGCTTCTTCCATCAGCCTTAGCTTATCCTCTTCTTTCTAAAATCCAGAAAGAAATAAAGATAAAGAGAAAAAAAAAGGATAAAAACAATCATTTTTCATTAAAGACACATATACTTTTTGTTCTTCTTCATCTTCCTTGTTCATTGCAGCTTCCCATTCCTTCTTAGCAATGTCATGCAGTATCTTATCAGTAGTTAGTATGTAGTTACTAGCAGGAGCAGTAGAACCAGTCTCTTTATGTTTCCCAGGATCTTGTCTATTGCTATGCACTCTAGATGATGCAGTGATCATACTAGACTGTTTTTGAATGGTCTTTTTAGGCCTTTCCACACTAGCACTTCCAATGTGCATTGAACTGGTTTGAAACCGGTTCCAGTCATTCCACACCTGATGTGAATTGAGTCAATTAACTTCAAAGGCCATTATCTCAAATCACCTCCATTTGTGGTTTGAGATCCAGCTGCCATTGGCTATCTATTGAATGCAATAGATAGCCAATGGCAGCTGGATCAGAAATACTATCAAAAATATAAAAGATCCTGAAGATAGTGTGGAATCACTTGAGGTGCATTCTAAACCAGTTGAAACCAGTTGAAACCAGTTGAAACCAGTTCAAACCAGTTGAAACCAGTTCAAACCAGTTGAAACCAGTTCAAACCACATTGCAAGTGTAGAAAGGCCTTTAAATGAGCAAGTATAGTCATCACAAATTCACAATCATCACTTGAAGGTAACTCACATGTACTTCATTTATTTATTATAATAATATTCTATGCTTACTTGGCAGCTATATTGTCATAACAAACTAACTGCTTTACCACTTCTTTAGGATTGGACTGATTGTTACCAGAACCTCTATTAATAATAATAATAATAATAATAATAATAATAATAATAATAATAGTAACAATAATAATAATAAGAAAAAAAAATTGTAAAAATGGAGGATTTTCTACTTTTCATTTTTGGCAAAATTTGGTCAAATTCGCTGTACTATAGTACAGGGACTTTTCCCAACTTTAACATTTGTAAAAAAAATTCAAACACAATTGGAATCAGCTCAAACTTTCTACGCAACATAAGTACATGTATATGTATTAGAAAACGTAATAAAAATTGAGAATTCTCACCTTTTCATTTTTGGCAAAATTTGGCTCATGACCCTGTACTATAGTACAGGGACTTTTGTCCGATTTTGGAGCAACTTTAAAAAATCGTAAAAAATTTAAACTTGATCAAAATCAGCTCAAACTTTCTACGCAACATAAGTACATGTATATACATCAGGAAATGTAATAAAAATGGAGAATTTTTTACTTTTTATTTTTGGTGAAATTTGGCTCATGACCCTGTACTATATAGTACAGGGACTTTTGTCCGATTTTGGAGCAACTTTAAAAAATTGTAAAAAATCCAAACTTGATCGAAATCAGCTCAAACTTTCTACGCAACATAAGTACATGTATATGCATCAGAATATGTAATAAAAATGAAGAATTCTCTTTCTTTAATTTATGGCAATTTTTTTGGAGCAACTTTATAAATATTTGTAGAAAATCCATAACCAGTCAAACACATATCCTCTGTACTTTTTATCAGTAGATATTGATATTACAGTTGCAACTGGTGGTAGGAATACATTTGACAGCTGCAATGCCATGTCATCAAGGAGAGAGGGAGGGGGAGGGAGCGAGACTGGAATGGACGTAGTAGCTTCCGCTAAAAACCGAACTATCGGAGGATACCACTGTCATTTTAAAAAATGCAATGAAAAATAAAACAAATCTTTAAAAAATGAAACCAAATAAAATCCCACCTGCTGTATTTTATAAGCTCCGAGTGCTTTAAAATTTTTCTCTTTCATTTTCCTCGCCTGCATTATGTCCCACGCCACAGAACTGAACCCGTCACGAGAGGGAATCTCCTTGCAAGCCTGATTAACTCTCGTGAGACCTTGAAGCGCCATGTAACGCACCTTCCAGCTGTTACCAGAATCTGCTGGAATTATAAATCATGTACATGTAATTACTATAAGACATTATACTGCAAAAAAAAGTCAAACATGCAAGAACATTGTGTACATAAATACATATACTCTTACCAGCTGGATCATCATCGTTATATGATGCTAAATCAATCAAACAATATCCAGCTGCTCCTTTTCCCTCCTTCCCTCCTCCTCTCACCAAGGCCTGTTCCTGGAGACGTGAGTCTCTCCCATACATCACAATGTCAGATAATCCTATTACAAACGTTAGCTTGACATCCATAGACCAGCTGGAGAAATCAGTGAGGGATATAGTGGATAGATCAGTCTTGATTGTGGAAGGGGTAGAGAGGATACTACGTTGGTACACAGTACTCTCGGGGGCTACGCTTCCCAAGACCCCAGCCCCCCAGCTGAAAGGGGCAGTGCTGTGTGTGTAATGGGTACATCTTGAATCAGTCCTGAAGGGGATTTGTGGAAGAGTTAAGGTCACACTTTTAGCTTTTGCCCCCTCTTCTCTTGTCTTAACAAATTGAAACCTGTCGTCAAGGAGATTAATACGATTTATGGAAGTTCCTACAGATGAGGCATTATCCTCTTCTCCCTCCTCCTCCTCCTCCTCCTCCTCACGGCTAAGAGCGTCCATTAGTGTAACCTTCTTGTCTCCTCCTTCTCTCTCTGCCTTTTTAAAACTCAATAGACCAGAGACGTTTGATGTCTTGTTGTCGTCCAATGTTTGATCGAACTGCGATGATAGATGAAGCAGATAAGAACTATAGCTGTCTTTATAAGTACTGGGTTCTTCGAGACTAGTCGTCGTAACCAGTTCTTCATCCCCTCCCCTCTCCCTCACATTGGACCCACTCAGTTCAGTACTTGACGGCTGTATAATATCAGGTATGGACTCGTTGTCAATCAAAGCCTGAGTGCCAACCGAGAGAGTATAAACAGATACTTCATTATAATCCTCGTCATCCTCTTCCTCCTCTTCTCTCGTCTTCTCTTCGCTGTCAGACTCTTCCACTTCTGGTTCTATAAATTTCGGTTGCATCCCAAGAACGTTTAAAGTTGCAATGTTGTTTTTAGGGTCTGATACTAAAGAGCTACAATGGTCCGTGTCTTTATATGCCTCTCCTTCTTCTTCTTCTTCTTCTTTCTTTGTCTCATCTTCTTGCGACTTGTTTTCAGTCTTGATGCTCTCCAAGATGCTAGAACCAATCGAGAGTCCCTGAACAAACCGAAGAACCCTTGGGTCTCTCCTGGCCGCTGAGCAAAGTATGCTTATTGCTAGTATACCGTCAATACTAGAATAATACAAATAATGATATCATACTTAATCATCTATTAATAGAACATAGTTCTATTTTTAGAATTACAGTAATAGGTTACCATGGCTCAGTGTTAAAGTCAGTGCTACAGGTAATGAGATCCATCATTGCTTCATTAAGTGTCTCGCAACCTTTATAACAACACTGCCAGATGTCCAGTGCATGCCAGAGGACCGAAGAGATCACATGATCTCCTCCTCCTCCTCCGCTGCTTTCCGAGGCACAGTTCAGGGGCGTGGCTTGGACGTTCATGGCTGTGGCTGGTGTATTGGTTAGTCTTGTGGGCGGAGCTGGAGTAGAGGAGACTCCTCCCCCTTGAAGAGGAGGAAGGTCGTACTTTTTACATATCAAATCACCCTAAAACAACAACAACAATGATAATAATAATAGATAATAAGTATAAGTATATATAAATTAAACATTCATTTTTCTGTAGTTTTACCACTTCTATTATTATTTTAAAATGTAGGTGTGCCTCTGGTATATCAACGTAAGACTTTCCATGAGCCTCCAGTCCATCGAAATCATACTTCAACCTCCTTATTTGGGAGCCAGTGTACATACCCTATTGGAGGGGGTGGGGTTTAAAGCATTTTAAATTTTGAATTCGAATTTCAAATTATACATGTACATTGTCACCTGGAGAGTTCCTGTCAAGTGATGATGATACAACCGCAATGATACAGAATGAAGTACCTACGTTACGCACAATAAAGCAAGGGATCTTTAAAAATGACGCACACATGAAGTAAATGATACAACATGTGGCATATACACATGTACAGTATATCTCATACAGTACCTGTAGCAGGAGAAGTTCACCGGATTTGAATTGAGACGAGAAGAGAGAACCTTCTTTAATCCAGTGGTAGCCAATACCTGCCATGTAGAACAAGACTGGAACATGAGAAGGAGTGAGAGAAGAGTTTAATAGTGAGCTAGCTAATGTTGCAAGACTTTCTGTAGGAAAGAGAGAGAGGGAGGGAAATAGAAGTAATGAGAGAGAGAGAGAGAGGAAGGGAGGGGGAGAAGCAATAAGAATAGAGAGAGAGAGAGAGAGGGGACCTTGCTGGAGAGTTCCACAGCATTGACAAAGAGCAATCAGCTCTAGCCATCCTTCAGATACGTCCGATAGTGTAGCATTAGATTTGAAAGAGCAACACTTGTACTGATAAAAATTAATAAACAATAATAACAATAATAATAAACAATAATTACTATCTTACTTTTGCATGTTCAAGTACTCTAATTAAAACACTATTCAGCTCTTCTTTCTCTGGATCTGCAGATGAGTTGTACTATAGGTAAGAAAAAAATACAATAATTATAATCATGTCTCTTTTTAGATGTTCACTTTTGATATGAAGTCAAGTGTAATGACAGGACATGATCTGTTCCTTAAACTTCTAAATAAAGAAAATTGAAAAACAAAATTGTTATCTGCAAATAAATTTATGCTTGCTCAAAATAGCAAACTTCATGGATTCATAAAAATATTCTGTTCTTTTTATTTAAATTCATACTTTCTTTGTGGCCTTGGAGATGAGGCCTTGTTTTTGCTTGTCTCCTCCTTCTTGCTTTCTTTAGCTGCTTCAACCTCTTGAGGGTTGGAGCGCATACAAATCCCAAACTTATGAACAACAGGAACTCTTGTTACAGGCATGTTGAATATGGGCGGGGCTGAGTACAGTTACCATGGCAATTTGCCACTCGTAAATGGCGGTAAATGGGGGATTTGAAAATAGAAAGAGAAGATAGAGAAGACTAGGCTAATAATTAGAGACAGCCTGTATCGCGGGACAATCTATTTTCTTTATACCAAAATGGAGTTCTTAAATACTGTATACAGGGAGTGGTGAGTCCGTATACTTGTAGTGTAACGGAAAACGCTCTTTTTCAGTAGGCGAAGGAATGAGAAAAGCGATCCTTTTTTTCTCCGTATACTTCGCAATCTATTTGAATGGGAGAAGGACCCTTTTCCGTATACTTGTAGTGTAACGGAAAATGCTTTTTTTTCAGTAGGCGAAGGAATGAGAAAACTGATTCTTTTTTCTCCGTATACTTTCTCAATGCATTGAATGGGCTTCCTTTTGCGCACGCGCAGTAGAAAGCTCTGTGGTTAATATAAATAATTGCTGGGCGTGGTCAATTAACCGGTCCAATAATCATCTTGGCCGTCGAAAAGATGCTGTACTTTTCCTTCTTTCTCTCCTCTCTCCTTCTCTCTTCCTCCATTATACAAACAGATGGAAACGCCAACAAGACCCCTCTCCGCCTACAGATACTAGTACCAGCGGAGAAGAACCCCACGTATTGGGACGGAGGTGTCATTCCGGCTATGTTAATGGCCTTGGACGATGTGAATAACGCCTCGCATATACTGAGTAACTACACGCTCACAGCTAATATATCTGATACAAAGGTCTGCTAGTATATAAATGAATTATATTTGAAATTAATTATTATTGTTATGATCCGTCGGTAGCGTAAATTGAAATTTGGCTCAGGAACTGCTTTGTTTACTCTTACATTCTTAATATAATTATTTTCAGTCATACGTCAGTAATTATGTTGTGTAAGCGCTG